TTTTGAATTTTTTGTTAAAAAAAAAAAAAAACAAAAAAAAAAAAAAAAAAAAAAAAAAAAAAACTGGGATCGTTTGATCAAAGGTTTTCATAAGTTTATTTCACAATTGTACATTTGAAATTCAAGAAAGTAAACTTCCGAATTTATTTCAGTAGCTTGATATGAATATTTTTTGAAAAAGCAACAACAACAACATGGTTTTTTTGCTTTCAAACATCAATTATACGGGGAAAACTTAATCATGATATTATTTTGATTATGTTATAAAATTAGAATGTAACATAATAACTGTATTATAATGATTGTATTTTTTCTTTCTTTCTAATTCGCATAACAAATTTATTTATCATCCCGTTAATTTAGATGATGATGATCTTATTTAATCTGATTTTGTATGAAATGATGTTGTTGTTTTTGTTGTTTTTCTTCATTCATATTTGTATTCATATTTGAATTTGTTTCAGTGAAACCCAAAAAAAACCAGTGTAAATGGCCATTGTAAATTGAAATCAAAATCTTTAAATTTATGATTAAAACAAACAAACAAACAAACAATAATTTAAACGCTTGAACAAAGCAAAAAAAAATTGTCAATAAATTATGGTTGAAATATAGAGGATGTTGTTATTGTTATAATTATCATTTGTAAAAAATAAAAAAAAAATAAAACCTGATTTATAACCAAAAATAATGTGGCTAATTAATTTTTCTGTTTCTCCTTAATAATTTACCATTAAGCAGTCATTAATGTTTCTTCTGTTTGTTTTGTTTTGTTTTGATTGTCAGGGAAAAAAAGGAAGAGAGAGAAATGTAAAAAAAATCAATTATTAATCAATCAATTGTTTTGTTGAACGTTGACATTTGAATTGGAATAACAATTGATGACATGATTGATGAATTGATTGATTGATATGATTGATTGATAAGTGAATTGTTTTCCTTTTTTTTCATATTTTTAGTTTCATCATCAATATATTCAATTATAATGGCCATACATTTAAAAAAACAAAACAACATTCCAAACATTTCGAATCATTTTTGTGTGTTAAATACATATATATATTGATTTTGTAAAAACTATTTATGCTAATCGAAATTGAAAATCAAAAAACGAATCGAATCGAATCGAATTACCAATCGATGTTGTTGATGATGATAATGATGTATTTGTGTTTCTTCTTCTTCTTCATTATACAATCGGGCAATAATTTTTCATGATTATGATTGACGGCCAAATATTTTTTTTTTTTGTAACTGTGCCGGTTATTTCCAAAAAAAAAAAAATTTTTTTTTTTTCCTTTCCATTTTGATCTTTCAATCGATCGAT